AATTGCTCTGTTTTTTAAGAAAATAAAAAGATACCTTGTCGCGATAGATTTGTTTAATTGTATATTGCCCATATGTTTTCGTATATACTATAGATATAACCTCCAATTTTGGGATACAAAGACACACTGGTACGAAATTCTTTATATGGTGCGATTTTTTACACTTCAGTTACTGCCAATGGTTTCTAGTTGCCAAACTTCTATTTAAAAGTTATATGAAATGGCACTAATAGTTATTTGTGCATTGATGGCGTTAAGATTTGAAAATTAAAAATATGAAGAAAAATTGAACGGTCGCGTCAGTAGAACTTGCGGCACGCCATAACAACCAATATGATGCAATGTTTGAACGTGGAGTCCGTGGGATGAGAACTGAGATTTAATTTTCAAAAGGCCTTTCCACAATGCCCAACTTACCGCCCGGTCAAAGATAAGCGATATTGATTGTGTACTAAGCGTATGTATCTATTAGGGCTTGAACTTCCCACCGTTCGTAGTGAAATATAACATTATCCTTTCAATAGTGTGCGCTGCGTATATATGCGATATGTTATATATTCGTTATTTATGCCACTGAAGTCTGCAACGACCGTTGCTCTAAAATCTTCTCAAATTCTGCCATTTCAGTACATTGTACCTTTAGCACATTAAGTTATGCTCCAGTTTTGGTATCTTGTTGTTATGCCCCGCTTTTTACACCACAAGTTGAAACCACAAAACCTCAATAGTTTGTCTATTTTCAGGCGTATATTAACTTATAGCATAATAAATCTTCTACAATATTATGTACTGCAGTAAATCTATTTATCGTCCAGGCTAATGCAATTCTAATCCAAGCTATGGATATGGAAATTTCAATATATCAGTACATATTGCAGTACTTTCCGCGAGCTCATCGCCTCTAGGCTAGGGCATGACGTCTTTGGTTGCACTTGGCGATGGTTGTCGTTAATCGGTAAGTTCGGACGACTTCAAGAACACCACTGCTGGATTAAGTACTGAGGCGCATTGATCATGCTCACGTTTAATATGATATACCGGATTAGGTTTTATTTACGTTTGATTGATTTTGCGAAGCGTAACGTCTAGATAATCTTAAGACTTTGATGTATGTTACTAGAAAAACTGTTTTTTCTTTCCAATACCGATAGTAGAAACAGCGATCAGATCAAAGTCTTTAGACAAAACAGGACAATACAGAGAAAACCTGCTAACAGAGACACATAAGAATTTTCTCGTAAATAAACCTGTAAATGGCACATAATTTCTCCGAGGTGCCGTGTAACAAATGGATTTATAATCGAGTGGTCCACAAAATTGTCCCATAATGAAGTTCGAAATCGATGATCAATAACAAATACAAATACTTATTTTCTACCTTTAAACAAGCAATTTTGTGTGTTGAAACTACGAAGGCCTTTTTTAGGTCAATCCTAAATCCCAAGTACTTGCACGCAACAGTGAGTTCCTTGCAAGATCATAATTACTTCGAGTTTTCCGACCAATTTTCCACCTGGCTCGCTGCATTGTTCAGAGATAATCGACAACAGACGTGATGCACTTTGAATCTGTCTAGGAGTAGCGTAGAACGAAGATTGAGAACGTGACGTTTCTAAATTACTAAAATTTTGCCGTAAACGGATCTCGTCAATATTTTTGCAGTCCGAATAGATTACTTGACTGAACCTCAAACTTGTTCCGCATTTAAATTTGGAATTGACGGTCAAAGATAAACATGATTACTTCAAAAAGCTACACAGCAGTAGAAACACTGATCAAATCCAGCTCTTTAGAGAAAACTGGCCCAGAGAGAGAGACATAAGAATGTTCTCGCAAATAAACGTAAATGGCACACAATCACAGAATCAAGTAAGAAACAAAATACACCTCAATTTCCGTCACCATGAGTTTGAGGTCGACATGAAAGTGAAGGTATGAAGGAAGATCAAGAAGATTTGATCTCTGTTTTATTCAAAACAATACATGCTTTTGAGGATTACCTTTTGGGATCAGAAAAATGTTGAGAAGTCAGTCTTATTTCATTAAATATCACATTTGCCCCTTTTTGCCGAGCCTGTAGTACCAATACTGTACTACTTCACAAGCCATGTACTGATTATGGAATAAACTAGCTTCAACGATGAGATGTACCAGTTAATATTGCACTACGTGCGTGATATAGGCAACCCAACACCCATCGCATGAAATTAACCCCCGGGTTGCTAGCTCCACACGCGGACCACCGAGCTACCGAGGCTCCCTAAGTTGAGGGTTAAGGGGGTCATGGCAGAGCAGAAATGTTCGATATCTGTTTTATCCAAAATTACCGATCTCTTAGAGGTACATCCTTTTGAAGAGTAAAATTTTGAGAGGTAAGTTTTATTTCAGTAAATCCTGTCACACAATTAGTTGTAAGTTAAGAAGCAAAACGTACATCAATTTTCATCACTACGAGGTTGAAGTTGAGGTACAGGTGAAGGTATGAAGACCAGGAAGATTCGTTTGAAGATCCATGTAGAACAGCCGTGTAAAGGAGAGTCCCAACTTTGAAGATACCCTTTCCCTCTATAGTGCCTTTTCATGTTTGATGAATGCTGGTACAATCCAAAGCAGACGAAGTTAACTGATCTTGAAAGTTTATATATGTATAACTAGTAATTGCACAAAAGTACCTACTGTTTTGTTAATAAGTTAGGTGCAGAAACCTGGAAGGAGGAATATACTTATATGTGGCGGAATCGGCTCACCTTAGAATTCTGCAAATGCGTATGAAATTACATTATATATTTTCCGGGCACTAGGATTTTTTGGTTTTGTCCTTTTGTCATGTATAGTTTCTAAGCTGTCACTGAAATGGAATTGACTTCTCAAAGGTTAATTTTTCGCGTCGAGCTCGCAACCGGCACGGGTATTACGTATCTTGAAAAGTGACTTTGTGTCGATTTCTTTTTGGACATTATACTGTTTTTTTTAGCGACATTATGTAGGTTTTTCGACAAGATGGTCATTTAGCACTAGCTGATGGACACTTTTGTAAACTCGTTTTGTAGTTTGTAAGTGTTGGCTAAACGTGATGGGGCTGCAGTTATCAATGTTTGACTATAATGTGATGTAAAATCTGCTTCAGAGATAGCATCACTGGAGATAACGGCATAGTGAGGATTCGTGTGCTAATAATATTTGTTGATGATAATTCCATTGGATTCTTGTCTCAAATACACTTACTTGAGATTCAAAGCTAGAAATTAGTTGTGCATATACTTTTCTTATCCATTCTGGAAATTACATATGCAAATTTGCTGAATTTAAGAAATAAGAGAGATGAGAAATAATTATATCGTTGTACACTGTCGAATTACAAGTAATATACATGCTAACAGTAATTACACACAACGCGGGCGCAGTGTTGATTTCTTGCAATTCCCCTCAAAGTTTTTCAAAAAAAAAACGTAAAAAATCGTAATTGATAACTTTGAACATAACCTGTCTTCCGAAAGGACAACACATAAGTAACCCGACGGGCAGTATATTAATGATTTTGTCAGACAGCAAATATCATTGATTTTATACACGTGCAGACCAATACACACAATCATCCAGATGTGATCTTGCTATTCAACCAAATAACCAACTTTCTTCTCAGAGACTCAGAGATGAAACTGTAGACCACTCGGCTTCACAAAACATATGCAACCAACAATGCATGTACGCGTAGTCAAGTCATTCCTCCATAGATGGACGCTCACAGCGATCCGCGTGAGCAAACGTGGAATGACTGTTTGCACCCTAAAAATTACCTAGTCTGCAAGATGACATCTTTTTTTGACATTTTATCGGTTTTTTACATAATACCCGTGCCGAGGGTCGTGAGTTCGAATCTCCTCCTCGGACGTTAATTCCATGCCATGGGTGTTGTGTTTTCTATATCACGCACGTGGTGCAATATTAACTGGTAAATCTCATCGCTGAAGCTAGTTCATTCAATAAATAATCTTGTGGAATAGTAAAGTGTTGGTACATCGGGGTCGGCAAAAAGGGTCAAAGGTGGCCTAGTTGCCGGGCTTCGCCACCCCACTACCACTACTACTACTACTACTACTAATCCTCAACTTCAACTACATAATTGCGGAGTTTGAGATGCGTTTTGCCTCTTAACTTGCATTTAATGAAATAAAACTGACTTCTCAACATTGTTGTGAAACATGTAATGTTTTGAATAAAATAGAGATCAAATCTTCTCGATCTTCCTTCATACCTCCACTTGCATGTCGACCTCAAACTTATGGTGACGGAAATTGAGGAGCGTTTTGCTTCTTACTCGATTGTGTGACATTTACTGAAACAAAATAACATCTTAACATGTTCCTCTTTCCAAAAGAATGAACCTCAAAGAAAATCGAATCTTCCTGATCTTCCTTCATTCCTTCACTTTCACGACCTCATAAGTCACATAGCTTAAATTTTCAGGAAATGGATAAAAACACAATTGAAGGAATGTTTAATTAACTTATCCATAGCAATAATGAAGAAGGCCTTGGAAACTGTTATTAACTTATATGGAAATGTTAGAGCAAAGCAAACGCAATCATCCTAGTTTTTTTTTTTGCTAATTATCGAACACATGAACGTCAACTTATTAAAATGTCGTGAGTTTTAATTTTGCATCTCTTGATATCTTTCAGCAGATCGGCATATTACAAAATTATTGATGAAGTGGTTTTTGATATGACAGATTCACTTTGAAATCACAATGAAACCGAGGTGGCCAGAACCGTCAGCAAATTATTACTTCTACGTCTGTTTTTCATTTGGTGGTCAGGAGAATATGGAGACTGATTAGCGAGACAACCACAGGAAGTTTCATATATCTATTATGCGGTATCATTTGGAAACGTAGGAACGAATTGACTGACGTGAACTATGCTCAGAATTTAAGAATGCGTTTTCAGCAAACAAAAGCATGTTGCAGAATTTGTTTTTGAAATGATTTACTTGGTTCCAGGCGATGGAGCAGTGTCGGAGGTATGAAGCTTTGGCGACACAATGCAGGGCTGTATCAGGTCCTGTAGACCTGTCACACCTCTCCCGAGCCCTCCCTGCCCCTCCCACTCGGGGGCCCATCATAAAAAGGGTGTTCGTGCCTCCACAGCCACCTCCACCAACAGATGGCGCAGAAGGAGACGGACCGGACAACGTGAGTACAATTGAAAGTATAAAGTTACTGGTAATTCATTATATTCCTTCCATGTACTCGGAACTTGAAAATAAGGGAATGATAGAACGAGCTCTATTACCTTTTCTGGCGCCTCTTACAGTGTGTTTGATGTTTATCAAATAAAGTGAATGCATCTATTTTTGGAAACAAATGTGTTCTTAGGTTTCCTATATCATAAAAAATTTAACTTTGTCTTTAGGGACGAGACTGATGGACAACGGCGACATTTCTACACTTTCTTTCCGCAATTCTAGTTCCGCATTTTGAAGAATAGAGATCCAGGGCACGGTACGGAAACTGAAATGCAACTGGTTCAGTAGTTTTCGAAATAGTTCGGTTTTTAGTTTATTGTAAACAATATTTTGAAGGTTAACGGCTATTCACAAATATATAAAAGTCATCATTTTCAGTTTACCTTAGAACAAAATTATGTCTAGCTCATAAAATTGCTAAGACAAAGAGAGTATAAATTACTGAAAAATCTTGTGCGTAGAGTGCTTATATAGTATTATACATCACTATGAAAGAAATCTAAGCCCTGCGATGACAGCTCTATTGGCAGGCTATGTACTCGTACATACTGTACCAAAAAACGTAGCGGCGCCCCGTCTGAGAATTCAGTGCACGAAGTTCGTGTACCATGAGAAAATTCTACCAAGTATCTTGGTGTCACTCTTGGCACGGGGATGGCCTGGCAGAAGCACACTGAAGCGTTAAAAACCAAATTGCACATTACGTTTCGGCAACACTACTCTATATTATGTAGAATTTCAGAATTAGGTTGGCTCAAAAAATGTTGGGTGTACAAGGCGGTTACTACACCAGCGAACACTTACGCGTGTGCGGTGTTTTCCCGCCAAAATGTATTTGCGCAGAACATAACCTTTCACACAATGACTAATGCCCTATGGTAGGTTCCATTGAGATCCTCCACAGAGACCCCGACAACCCTTAGGGGACTGCAATAACTAACAGAAGCAGCTACGTTGTAGTCAAGCGGGATCGTATAATCACACTTTGTTGCATGAGTTTGTAGTCGAGCAAGTTCGCAAGCACACAAGACCGCGGTGCGCACTGTGAACAAAATAAAAACGTGCGACTTCAGGTCCATCCGGAATTACAATTTTACAAGAATCAGTCTCTAAATTGATTTCAGGTTCAATTTAAAATTCTCGAATACTGGTTAACAATGCCAAAGTACCCCTCAAAATGCCGCACTCCATCTTCCCTCCTTAAGAATTACAATTTTACAAGAATAAGTCTCTAAATTGATTTCAGGTTAAATTTAAAATTCTCGAATACTGGTTAAAAACGCCAAAGTTCCCTCAAAACTTCGCACTCCCTCTTCTTTGTTCTCCCATGATACTTCAAGAGCAAGGTTCCAACGGACTGCTCTAAATAGAAGAATGAAATAGTTCGATGATGTACAGGTTAAGTAACACCGAAAAAACATAATATTCCATTTACGAAATACACCTGCCAGTTGGTGTGGAACGTAAAATTATTCTTGGCTTTAAATGTAGTCACCAATATTAGGTAGATTATTGATGATGCTTGAATTCCAACCTTAGGTGTCGAAGTCAGGTCACCTAATACTGAACCATTCCGAATTTCTTTAATAATTCTGAAACTTCCAGACTTGCAAATATTTCTTTATTACTGATACTACTCGTATCTTTGGTTTGTTAAAATTCACTATTTCATTCGAAAAACTATCGGTATCTCGTAATAGATTTGTTTGTTTTATTTACAGGAAAATATCCCTCCACCATTGAGAGACGAGCTGGTTGTTGATCGATTATCCGCTCTACATTTGAAACCATCCCACGATGCTCTTAAGCATGAATCTCAAGAACTGGAAACTCAGGTCAGTCACTATCTTATTAGTCAAGTAAGATACCTAGTGTTTGTCACACAGTGATGACTGATATCAGTAGGTATGAAAAATTATATATTTAAGAAACCACTGACGTGTTGGGACTAGGTACAAGGAGCAAGCACGCAAATTGCTTTGATTCACAATATCTTGGTCAGTAGTCAGGACAAAAGTGCATACAGTCCATACAGTTTTTTGAAAACGGTAAGGATTTTGTGGTCAGTAATGGTTAATATAGGTTGGCAGCTGAGAGTTTGGCATCTGCCTGGACACGTGTGAGATAGCTTAGGTATATCTCATTTCATATGTTCATTTAAATGCTCATTTTGCTTAGAAAATTATATCCCTACTACAACATTGAAAATACCATTGGAGACAAAAAATGTGTTCATATATACTAAAGAGACTTAGAGTTTCATTTATTCTCATTTTGAATCTGAAAATTCTTAGGAATTTTTCTTACTTCCGCGTTATAAACAGTCTTATGTTTTCCCATTTTGGTACCACGAGACTCTGTTAATATATTTGAGCACGCCCCAAATAATTTGTTAATATTTAACTGGCACTTCTAAAAATTTTTGTACTTGATCAAATAGTGACAATGATATAACCGCAGAAATAATTGTGGAATGATGTTCAACAAGCCACTTTCTTTTAGCCAATGGCCTGCTCGGATGAAACAGAACATACGCAGTTATTTATAAAAACTAGGTGAAGGTTCCAATATCAGTTTCGTGAGAACAATTTTTTGTACTTTTCATCTATCTGACAGCAAACTATGCCAGAATTGTCTAGACGCGGTACCTTCCATGAATATTTACATTCGTTTGTTTGCTTATTTAATTCATTCCTGTTAAAAAATAACTGAATGATTCACATCGCAACATGAATAGTACACGGTGGCCAATATATAATTGCGCGCTATTTTTTATAGACCCATTTCAGTAGGTGTCGCCGTAGTAGTTGTTTAACGCAAATGTTTGCAATTCATCATGGAGCGCTACACGATCCCACAACGCGTCCGTATTGTTAAAACGTTTTACTTAAATAATGAGTCGATCGTTGCAACGATTCGGAAGCTACGACAAGATTTCGGTCGAAATAATGTGCCCAGTTTCAACACCATTCGTCGTTCGTTGGTGTGGAAATTTGAACAAACAGGTGAAGCTAGACTTGCCGAGGTCGGGCCGTGTTCGAACTGTTCGTACTCCGGAAAATATCGAGAGAGTTCGTGAAAATGTAGTGGAGTGCCCTGAGACGTCGTTCTCAAGAACTGGATTTCATTTTGCACTATTTTGAAAAAAGATTTGTATTTGCGGCCATACAAAATTCAGTTGACCCAAGAACTACAGCCTAGCGACCATGAAAGTCGCCGACAATACAGTCATGCAATATTGCAGCTTAATACCCAAAATAACGATTTTTGCCGACAACAAATAATGAGCGATGAAGTCCACTTCGATATGAACGGACTTGTTGATAACCAGAATTGTCGCATCTGGGCATTAGAGAACCCTCGTGTCATCCATCAACGACCACTACATCCTCGTCCAGTCACAGTTTGGTACGGTGGTTGGTGTGGAGGTGTCATTGGACGCTACCGGCATATGGTGTAAAACTTTCTGGCTCCTAAGATCCAACAATTTAACCTGCAAAACATGTGGTTCCAGCAGGACGGAGCATCTTGTCACACAGCTAGGGAAACAATAAATCTTTTGCGAACAATATTTCCGGGACGTTTAATTTCTCGATTTAGTGATGTCACCGGATTTAAGGGCGCCTGACTTTTTTGAATGACGATTTTTTAACAATAGGGCTTATTCCAACAGTCCAAATACTGTAAAGCAGCTGAAGAACAATATTACGGAAGCGATTGAAAATATTCCTCCCGAAACCTACCCAAAAGTGATGGAAAATGTAATCAAGAGGGCTCAGGTTTGCGCGGCTTCTAGAGTCGAACATTTGACTGGTAATATTCTTCATACATAATTCCTAAGTTTCAGTAAAAGATTAAGATGACAAAAATGAACGTATTTTATTCCATTTTACAAATATTCAATACACAAACCAGTCAGTTACACAGTATTTTCGCCCTGCAGTACGAGAGTACACCCACTGCAATTTGCTACTTAAATATCCTTCTCAAAGAAAGTAGTATTTATTTGGTAGGCATCCGCAGGCAAAATTAGCCCAAAGTGTACACTAAATATACGTATATGTTGGCGACAAACACCGTTATGTGAACATAGGCTTGGTCCTTCTTTCTAACCTAAGCGGAGGTAAGCGAAAAATCTGACGATCTCGACCTGTCACTGGTTTGCCAAGCGGCACGGGTATCATGTAAAAAACCTATAAAACGTCAAAACAATCTATAAGATGTCAACTTGCAGACTAGGTAGTTTTTAGGGCGCAAACAGTCAGTCCACGTTTGCTCACTAGGATCGTTGTGAACGTCCATCTATGGAGGAATTACTCAACTAAACTACGCATTATTGGTTGCATAGTTTTGTGAGGCTGAGTAGTTTTTAGTTTTTATCTCTGAGAAGAAAGTTGGTTGAATAGCAAGATCGCATCTGGATGATTATGTGTATTGGCCTGCATGTGTATAAAATCAGTGATATTTGCTGTGTGAGAAAATCAGCACTGAATATGCCGAATATGAGGGTTATTTATATGTTGTGCTTTCTGAAGAGAGGTTATGTTCAAAGCTATAAATTACGAAAAACTGAGGAGAATTACGAGAAATCATCACCGCGCCCCCGTTGTGTGTAATTAGTGTTAGCATGTATATGGCTTGTAATTCAACAGTGTACAGTGAATATGATTATTTCTTATCTCTCTCATTTTTGAAATTCAGCAAGTTTGTATATGTAATTTCCAGAATGGATAAAAAAAGTGAATGTGTAACTAGCTTTGAATATCAATTTGAATATCAATTACTGTTAGCATGTATATGGCTTGTAATTCGACAATGTACAGTGAATATAATTATTTCTTATCTTTCTCATTTTTGAAATTCAGCAAATTTGTATATGTAATTTACAGAATGGATAAGAAAAAGTGGATGCGCAACTAATTTCTAGCTTTGAATCTCAATCAAGTGTATTTGAGACAAGAACCCAATGTAATTATCATCAGCACATACAACTTACAGCTTAGACCTCCAGTAATGCCATCTCAGAAGCAGATTTTACATCACATCAGAGCCAAAGATTCATAACAAGCCTCATGACGTTTAGGCAACACGTACAACTAAGCGCTAAGTTAACATCTTGTAGAATAACCTACATAATGTCAAAAAAAAGCATAATGTAAAAAAAGATCGGCATAAAGTAAGTTTTCAAGATACGTGATACCCGTGCCGATCTTCATCCCATGCGATGAAATATGATGACCCTTATGCAACAGACTCAGCACTGCTCGATGTCCCGTGCAATGCACAGACCGATGTCGCAACAAAATAACGGTCAACCTATCTAGCAGCCGAAATACCAAGTATTGACAGAGCAGGCCAACAATGGCTTTCTATCCACATATATTCATAAATAGACACGATTGATATCGACATGTATGCTTTATGTCTCTGCCACCACGACCAACTACCTACAGCGATGTGTCGCGCTCATTAGCAACACCAGTGCACTATAGATTCAGTAGCCAGGAGGATAGATGAAATTGTAAGTCTTTCAACCAAACCAAACCATTTGTTTCCTTTCGTTCGTCTGTCTCCAGGAGCACGAGACTTATACCACACTGACGAGTTGCTAATGAGCACGAAACAACGCTCGCTGTGATTGGTCATGCAAATTCAAGAAAGACGCCATTTGTTTACAAAAAATGTGGTAGGTGTCGTTCAGAGGTATAGCACTGAAGAAAATCTTACCAATTGAGGCTTTGAAAAAAATATTTTTTTTACAGGTGCGACAAATCAGGGACGCTCTAGACACGCTAGTGCGGGTTCAGCAGCGCAGCGTTGAGGCAGCCCTGTACAACAAGGCCAACGAACTGCAGGAGGATATTTCCATGAAGCGATTTGACCTCACTGTTGCTCAGCTGCATCTCAGCGCTATAAATGCTCAGGTAAGTACAATTGCTTTTATTGAAAATGTCTCCCCTTTCTAGCGTGTCGAACACCAACCAAAAGAATACACAATTGAATTAGTTTGCTGCTGATAACGTGTAGAATTTGGTGACATCTGTTATACAGGGTGTTCATTTGAAAACCACCCACCACAGATTTATCTAAAACCACTGATTAAAAGAAAAAACGCTGAGACACGTTAAAGGATCAGTCAAGGAGGATAACTTTTTAACCAACTACTTCACCCCCTTTCACTCTTGGCCTCCCAGGGTCACTTCCTTAAAAATTTTAAATGCCATGGGGTATCAAGTAATAGCTTGTTTGAAATGTCCTTCAAAGTCCTTTATTCTGACGTTTGGTTTTTCAAATCGGTTGTTTCGTTTTCGAGAAAATTAGAAAAACCTTTATTTATCTTAATTTGTTCAAAGCATCACTTTTTATTTCAATAAGTATTCAAAATGTCGCCCGTTAGGGCCAAATCTTTATAATCTAAAAAGGAAACTACCAACATGAGCAGCATTTCGGAAGATTAGACGTGGCAACAACCAAATAACCCGAATTTTTTCCCGCAATCCTTTTCATTAACACATATCCTGGGCTAACAGTATTTATTGTTATACCTGTTTAGTTATTTGTTGCTAAGGAAAAGAAAATTTAATTTGCTGTTAGTTAGCTTTGTGAAAATCTTGGGATAGTGAAAATTAATTTATTGATTCAGATTTTGTTTTAAAAATGGTTTACACATTAGCCGACAGAAATAAATCTAATTTATGGTGCCCAAAATCAATGTGCTCGGCAAATTGCAGTCACGTTTTACGCCAGGGAAGGTAACTTTGCATAGGTGTTTTTGACCTTGTTACTAAATTTTCTCAAACTGGATCTGTTGCAAATAAAAAACGTGATAATCGGAGAACTTTGGATAAAGCCGCTCAAGTTGAAGTTTTGGGTCATTTTGGAATAAATTCTAATACTTCATTACGCAAAATTGTTGCTGCGACTGATATTTTATTAGGCTCTGTACACACAGTTACTAATCTCCAAAAATTTCATCCATTCAAAATGAAAATATTGCAAGAGTTAACCGAAGAAGATTTCAACAGGCTAGTTGAGTTTTGCGAATAAATCACTGCAGTGATTAATGATAATACCATTCATGTAAAGAATATCTGCTTCAGTAACGAATACACATTTTATCTAAATGGATTTGTTAATAAGCATAACTGCAGGTATTGGAGCCATGAAAATCGTCATGCTTCTGTAGAAGGGCACACCCAGTACCCCCAAAAAATTAATGCATGGGCAGGCATTTTAGGAAACAAAGTGATTCGGCCATTGTTTGTTAATGGAAATTTGAATGGATTTATTTGGATATGTTGGAAAATGGCATCAATCCGCTTATCACTGAAACCATTGAAAAAGAAATCGAAGAGGATGAAAACCCTATACTTGGTGAGGTTGAAATATATTTCCAGCAAGACGGCGCTCCTCGTCACTATGTTCTCACTGAATGGATATGGCCAAGAGGGCCTATGAAATGACCCAGATCTCCTGATTAGACTTTTTTCTATGGGGCCATTTGAAATCTATTGTGTTTACTCCCCAACCTGAAAGTTTGGCTGACCTTCGTCAACGCAACATCAAAGGCTGCCCCAAGACATGTTTTTAAAAATGTCCGTCAGGAATTTAAACATCAGCTATATCATTGTTTGGCCAATAACGGGCAACATTTTGAACACTTTTTGAAATAAAAATCGATATTTTCGTGTGTTTTTGTTTTCTATTTGAACAAATTACAATAAATAAAGATTTTTATAATTTTCTTGAAAACGAATCGAACGATTTTAAAAAATCGAACATAGAAATAAAGGACTTCGAAATACGTTTCAAACAAGCTGTTACTTGATACTCCTTTTCATGTAAAATTTTCCCCTGGGGCGCTGAGGGTGAAAGCAAGTGAAGAGTTTTTAGTTACAAAGTTGTCCCACTTGCCAAATCTTATGACGTGTCTCGTTTTAATCAGTGGTTTCCGATAAATCGTTGATGGAAACTTTTCAAATAAGCACCCTGTATATCAGAACACCACAAATAATCAGCTACCATGCATTTTTAAAAATTTGTAACAAATATTTGAAGGTATTAGAAAATCAATTTGCGTTCCTTACGCCGCAGCCAATAGACTGATTTTCAAAACCTACAAGGCTTTTCCGTAATTTTATTCAGAACCAGTGCAATACTTTCCAAGTAATAATTTAGGAGCGTACTTTCAACTATCATGTATGATGTCCCATAGTTTTTTTTTTCTAAAATCTTCATAAGATATATCCGGTTGCCACCCTGTATATGTGGAAAAAAAATTGTGAATATCACAAATAACACAGGGCTGCAAAATTAAACTTTTATTTCTCCCTCCCAAAGGTCGTTTGCTTTTTCAAATCCTTATTAATGTGATATCAAAGCACTGCTATGTTTCTTTATAACATGTCGATATTTATTTTTATTGACAACATGCTTATATTGGAAGCTGTTAAAAATCTGAATGAAAAAACTATAAGTTAGTGTATACAATATAAAGCTAATTTTTATCTAAAATAAAAAATACCTTTTTATTTAAATAAATTGCTATCGTGTTTGTGTCCTTGGTATCTGCTCTCTATAATCTTAATACCTTGATGGAAACGCACACCTAGTTTTTCGCTTACGGCACCAAGATTCTGCGGTTCAACAGTCAATATGAGAATGCAGAATACTCATACTAGAACTCAGTTTAAAGTATTTGGGAGTGGAGGAATGCTTGAGCATTGAGCACGAAGAAATGAAGAATCGACTGACAAGAGAGTACTATCGGCGTATAAGGCTTGTTCTCAAAACGGAGCTAAGTTCAAAAAACAAGGTAGTGGCTATTAATTCAATCGCTGTCCCTGTGCTGACGTATAGTTTCGGTATTTTGGATTGGTTGAGAACCGATATACACAAGCTAGATAGGAAAACAATAAAACTACTAACTTGAGAAGGTATGCATCATCCCAAAGCTGACGTTCAGCGTCTATACATCGCACGGCGTGATGGCGGACGAGGTTTAATAGAGTTAGAATATGCATATGATCTAGCCATTCTAGACCTGCATGAATACCTGAGCTCGGAGAAAGACAAATATACGAAAATGTTAAAAATCCACGATGCCCAGAAACGTAAATACTCTCTTGAGAGAGAAGCAGCGAGTATAAAATCAAACTACCAAAGTGACAACTCTAGGACGTCGAACACAAAGGTCCAAATCAAGGTCAGCATTGCTAAGCGCAGAATGGAAATGTTGAAAAATAAACCATTACACGGCCAGCTCTACAGAGACCTTAGTAGACCAGGCGTAGACAAAGACGCTAGCGTTGCATGGCTCCGTAGTTCTGGTCTGAAGGGCGGAACAGAAAGCCTCTTGATTGCTGCTCAGGACCAAGCCCTCAACACACGCTATCACCAAAAGCGCATACTTGGTTGCAAAGTGGACAGTAAGTGCAGGATGTGCAATCAAGCAGAGGAGCACATAAGCCACATCGTGGCTGGATGTACCACACTCGCACCTACTGAATACACAAAAAGGCACAACAACGTAGCAAGGTATCTACACTGGCTAATGAGCAAAAGGGCTGGTATACAGGTCTGCGATAAATATTATGAGCACACTCCAGAAAATAATAAAGTTGTAAACAATGAGGATGTTCGAATCATGTGGGATGTTCCCATCATCACTGATAGAACCATACCTGCGAACCGCCCGGACATAGTGTATCTTGATAAAAGAACAAAAACCTGCTTACTAGTAGATGTAGCGGTTCCTAACGATTCGAACGTAATGCTGAAGGAAGCAGAAAAGTTAAGCAAGTATAAAGACCTGGAAATAGAGGTAAGCAGAATGTGGAACGTTAAGACCCGAACAGTTCCAGTCATTGTAGGAGCCCTAGGGACCCTTAGAAAGGGGTTACAGACCAACCTCTCACAACTACCGGGAAAACCATCTGTTGCTGAAGTGCAGAAAATAGCACTATTGGGCACTGCTCACATTATCCGCAAGGTATTAGGGTGAATCGCTTTGATCTCGGGTAGAGATCTGGATTCGCTTAAGACTGTCACAATAGGACAAAAGGAAAACACTAAAATAATAATAATAATAATAATAATAATAATCTTTTCAAAGCAATTAACAGTTGGGCAATAAGTTCACTTACATATTCGTTCGGTATTGTGAAATGGAGTAATACAGACCTTGAAGAGCTAGACAGAATCACTCGTGTAAAGCTCACAAAGTTCCATTGTCACCACCCAAAGGCATCAACCGAACGGCTGTACCTCCCTCGCGCACAAGGGGGCCGCGGATTGCTCAACATGACACAACTCTGCAAGTCTCAGGTAGCCAAATTACAAAATTACTTTAATAACCATCTAAGTCCTAAGATAGCTGCTGTAGTGGAGGCAGATGACTCATTTACCCCTGTGAGCTTTCGGCAACCTCAAACAAATACGGCCTCGGAATCGAATACTAGGAGGAGAGAATGCTGGGAGGAGAAAATTCTCCATGGCCGTTACCCATGCCAACTGAGAGGTGACAACATAGATAAAGCTTTGTCATTCACCTATTTGAGAAAGGGATATCTCCATCCAACAACGGGAGGGGTCATAACTGCCATCCAGGAGAAAGTAATAAAAACAAAAACTATGAAAGACATATTCTCAAATCCAACGTCCCAGATGAATGTAGGAAGTGCAACCAGGCGGGCGAAACCATCGAACATATCACTGGAGCTTGCCCTGCGTTGGCAGCTGGCGATTATTTGGGAAGTCACAACCAGGTTGAAAAAATAATCCATTCACAGCTAGCTCGTAAACTTAACTTGGTACAATCTCCTCCGCCATATTACAAGTACACGCCTGAGCCAGTTCTGGAATCAGAAGATATTGGGATCGGCCATTTCTAACCGACAAAACTGTAGACTTTAACCGTCCCGATATTGTCCTGATAGACAAAAGCAACCAATATGCACAGATAATT